ATGCAACGGTGGTAATAAATTAAAATCGTTGTGATCGAGGAGCTTTTCTGATTCAAATAACAACGAAACTTTCAGCGAACATTCCCGTCTTTTGAAATGTACTATTTTAATCCATTCCTCCATTTCACAAATTAAAGATATTTTCCGCATTAAAGAAAGTACTGAATCTCATTAAACTGCTTCCTAATCTTATATATATATATATATATATATAGATATTCAAAATAAAGTAATTAAAACTAAATTAAAAAGCCTATGACATGCGCTAAAGCTGCAAGTAATAAACCAATAATTTATAATAAGAAAACTTTCCACATACCATCTCCAAGGAATACAAATTTAAAACCATGAATGAAAAAAAAAATTTAGAATTTAAATTTAAGAAAGTTTATACTAAATTGGCGAGAAAATTAGAATACTTCTTGGAAAAAATACATAGTGTAGGCTGTTACTAAAATAACACTAAAAGCTACAGCCTACACTCTATGTATTATCTCCAAGAAGTATTATAATTTTCTCGCCAATTTAGGCTAAACTTTCTTAAATTTAAATTCTAAAAACAATTTTCTCATTGATGGTTCTAAATTTGTATTCCTTGGAGATGGTATCTGGAAAGTTTTTTTTATTAAATTATTATGAATTATATATATATAGAGAGAGAGAGAAAAAAAAACTTAATAGCGAGTATCTAAATGAAAAATTATCCCCTAGGAAATGTGAAGTATAATTTAGATAGTAAATGTGTATTTTTGTGGAAATGTAAAATTGGAATTGATAATTAATTAAACAAGAATTATTAATTAAAATGCCAAATAAATAAAAAGCAAATTTAAACAATTAAAACAAGAAAATAATTGTAATTCCACAGAAAGATATCGACTTTTCAAGGGGAATTGGAAACCCTGTATACAATCACCACCAATTCATGGGGATAATGTTTCGTCTTTTCGCATTTCTGAATAAAATCCCTATTCCAGTTTTAAATTTCTAATGGATTTTATAAAATCTGAATTTCAATTTTAATTAATTTAAGAAATGTGAAGCCAATTAATTACAATTAATTTCAAAAATATATAAAAATAAAGATAGTATTCATACAGTACAATACTTAAATTTAAAAATAAGGATGAATGAAAATAATATATGAAATATACATATATATATGTGTGTGAGTGTATGTGTATATACAATTAATTAAGCAGTGGATTAAAAGAGATATTTAATTCCTTGGGACCTTTGAACTTCATAAGCGGTTGTGAAAAACAGACGCCAAATTTAGATTCAGAATTGTAGAAAGTAACACTTTATTAAATTCTCTAATCCAAACATACATCATAGCTGACCTAGCTAACAAAATTAATTTATACATCAGTTTTGCGTGTTCTAGCTTACCTACATAACCTCTCTGAAATCCGTATACAAGTCTTGAAAGTAATAATAATAAAAGCAGAAGGTTTTATGTGCAGAGACAATAAACTATAGATATATGTATTTACAAATTAAAATTTTAAAAGAGATTATTTTATAGTATCGAACATTAAATATCATAATTTATATACCTGTTCTATAAAACCATGAGATATTGAGGATCCTGAGACATCTAGCAAAATATGAAATTTTTGCAGCTTTGAAATTTCGAATTTCAGATCCTATGTTAGCGACAGGTTATTCATGCGTATATATCCTCCTGCGCACCGTTCATTTACAGAATTTGAAATTCGAGACTCTTTTGTAATGAGGAATTTTCCATGAGGTTTCTTGTTAACTGGCATTTATGGTACTATAATTCCCGAAATGATACTGTTAGAAGCACAAAATAATACTTTTCAGCTTATTCCTTATTACAGTGTTAAATAGTTTATTATCTAAAATGTGGTAATGCAAACTTATGACAGGGAATATTATCTATTATATTAATCTAAAATACCTTTTCTAATTTGTAATTATTAAAAATTTCATTAATAATTATCAATTTTTAAATACTTTACAATCATTATTAACATTGGACTCAGAAGCATAAAATTAAGCTTTTCAAACTTATTACGCCTGTGAATTACCTCAATGATTTGACTACATCAGTTCATAATTGCAGTCAATTTAAATTGCGTTCTCCATGGTGAAAATATTTCTTTATAAAATTTGTGATTTTTAAATAAAAGTATGAAAAGGAAATTAATGGATTGGATGGTGTGCTAAAGTTGATAAAAGTTAATGGTCTGAAATGTTTCCATCAACAGATGTTGCGAAAAGCTCTTCAAATAATTCAGCATCTGTTTAGCATTTAGCGTCAGGACAGTTATTTTCTATTACTATTAGGTAATAAATAAGGGGAAAAAGAAGATATATGACACATGCATTACTCAAGAAAAATTATGCGAAATCTTACATTTGTAATATGGTTTATATTTTAATGTTATCGCACCTTTGATTACAAACCTTACATAGGTTCTGATAGTATTTGAGGGTATAGGCAATGAATCTTCTAAATGGGAGCCAAGAAAGACAAAAAAAAAAGTGATATGGCAACGTCTCTCAATATAGGCACGGTTGTGAAAGACAAGTCTAGGAAAACAAACTTTAGAGAAGCTGTCAAAAAGCACTGAAAGTGACAAGAACGCACCACCAGAGACGGGCAGAAAATGAAACAACAATAAGAATTAGTTTTTTTCAACGCAATGAAAACAGAAAAATAACATTACTTTTATTCCTAGCACCATTTGGTTTAACTCAGTTTTATTATGTTTTTGGAATATAAGTAAGAAATATATCAATAAGGTTGGGGAAAAGAGAAAGCTTACTAATAACACGTAATCTGGTTTCATAACACACATAAAATTTTCCTTATGACGTCGGAGATAAATATCTTCAACTGACGTTGTCATGATAAATTTAAATGCACTCACGCAGTCTGGAAATTGTAATGTATTTCCAAAAAAGGCATCTTAATTTCGAAGCCAAAAGGAAAATTATGAAAAAAATACGTGGAAAATTCTAGTTTGGGTAATAGGAGTATTGCGTACTTTTATTGGGTTTCACAGTTTATCGGTCTGGGTAAAATTGTTTATTTTAGAAGCACTACTCAAAAAAGAACTGTTAATAAACTTAATAACCAAACATCTCCTCTAAAAGAACCGAGCGTGAAACATTAGGCTCAGAATGTTAAGCAGATATTGTGAAGGACATATCAGAAGGAATCCCACTTTTTATAATTTTGTTGCAATTCTGGTGCATAAAACCAGAGGGTAAACAGAGAAGCTTTTTCAGTTGGCATTACTATGGTCTCATATGGCTATTTTTGCTTTAACTCCTCAGTTTCTACAGAGGAAGATATGTTCTGTCTGTGAAAATTAACAGAAAACGAAAAAAGGAAGACAGAAAAATAAAACGATTTGACTGCAATATTGTACATTTTAATACAAAAAAATAACAGCAAGTTGGCGAACTCTAAAATATGTTAACGGAATTAATAATAACTTTTTTTAACCGAAATGACAAATAATAAGAATTAAGGAAACGTCTTTTTAAAATAGAAATTTAAAAAAGACTTTCCCCATTGTCCAACTTTTAAGTTGTTTTTAAAATGAGAATAAAGATAATATAGTTTTTTCGAAATTATTTAGATATAGCTAAGTGGTACAAATTAAATGTACTAAAGCTTAGAAGCGTTCACAATACTCTCCTTACAGCAATACACTTTATAGATTAATTTGCTAAAGATTAAATACATGTGTCAATGAAGTCATGTGCTTCTTGGAATCAATGAAAAATCTTTTTTATAGCCATATCAGTCGCATATTTGGGAGTGGTTATGTAAATTAAAAAATAGCCGAAATTCCTACGGTAAAGGATCAAGCATGGTCACGCAGAAGAATATGGTGAATATTTTATCATTCTGATGTGTTTCTGTTCAAGAAACTGAGCTGCCAAACTTTCTGAAAGAGAAGATGATGCATAATCATGGTAAAGCATGAGTTCCCTAATTTTGACTTCTTTAAAAATTTCTGGATGACACATAGTTATGAACCAGTTAGCTGTAACTGTTTCCTGTCCCTCTAATTTGATGCCATTCACCAATCCTTTATTTATGAAGAAAACGGTATGTATTACTTTTTTCACTGCTCGGCGTCTTTTCCCCATTGTCGATTTAAAGTCATATTTAAAAGCACATACTTTGTTTTCTTGATGTGTTGAAATGTCCAAAAAAAAAAAAAAAAAAAAATAAAATAAATAATAAATAAATAAATAAATAAATAAAACGGTATGGATGCTTCATCCCCTACTTATGATTTTAGAAATCATGAGTTATTTACCATCATTAAGTAACTTTAATGTTTCTTTATTAATTCTGACACATTTCACGTTTAGGTGTTCTGTTAATTTACGGGGAACTTAACGAAAAATAAATTTTTTGATCTGCACTTCTTCATTAACAGTTTTATGTATAAATGCCGGTGCAATATTAAGTTCCTTCTGTACCAATTGGTGCGCTGATTATCATTGATTCATGTTTTGTACTCAAGAGGTGAAGCTCTGTCCCCACTTGACGTGATACGGTAAATCAAGAAATATGGTAAATCATCGCCATAAGTCGTGGTTATCTGCAGAGAACGAGCCGTGATCTTTGTGTTAAAAGTTCAGTTTAATAAAAGATTGTTTAAACCTCTGTAAATTTTTGTCATGCTATTTTAGGCATAGCGATAACTCTCTATCTGTCTAGTAATGTTATAGGACTGAAGTTTAAATATCAGATTAAGTGAAACGTTATAAGTGAATTAGAAAATGCACAATAAATGAAAACAATCTTGTAAACAAAAAATTTATAAAACTTCCTTTCGGAGGTCATCATTACTGTGTATTCGGGTATCTTAATGATTCTTTTTTCCCTGACAATTAATAATTCTCCACTTTTATTCCCCTTCCACAAACGTCCTTGAAAACCAGTTTTTGAAATTTACCGCACTGGGTTCAGAACTCATGAATGAATGTGCACGTTACTCACATTCTTTTATAAAATAGCCGTTAATGTTCATTATTTTGCTAATATCTTTATAAGATGGCTTTCGCTCCTCTTTTAATGGAAGGCTTAACGCCTGAAATGGAGAAAATAGCTAAAAAGGAACTTGGAGAGACCCCACTAGTCAAAAAGGAATCCCTAGAAAAAATCAAGAGGCTCATAGAAAGTAAGTATTAAAGCTTCAAGTGTATGTGATTCTAAAACGTAGCATTATTGTAGCATGTAGTCGTCGCGTTATTGATGAACATTCTCCGGTTCACAGATTTTTGTTTCCCAAATGTACACTCTCAGAATTTCTGAAATTGACTAATAATATATTTTATAAATAGCAACTAAACTGCCAGCATATATATATTTTTTAATGATTTATATACTTTTCTTTAACTTTTAATCATATCGAGTAAAAACCAACATATTTTTTAATAAATTTACGTACAAAAATACATTATACAGGAAATTTGCATTTCAGCATGATAAAATGCACTTGTATTGCATTATAATGCATATTACGTATACCTTTAAAAGTTTTAATTCAATAAGAAAAATTACATTTTTGCGTAAACCCCTTATGATTGTTTTCGTTTCTATTAAGTTACACTTAGAAAGAATCTCTATAATCATCATTTATTTTTTCATTCATTCTTTACTGTACCAAAAATCATAATAATTCTGAAGTACAAACGCTTTCTGCTTCAATAGCCATGTACTTTCAATTTTGCTTTTCATTTCGCCAGTACAATATAACCACTAATTACATTATTTATGACGTGAAAGTAAACCGTTTAGATATGAGCAGTGTGAAATTTAAAATTCCTCATAAAAATTATCTAAAAGCTTAGACTGTATTAAGAGACATAATATAATGGAATTCCTGCCGGTATTGAATAAGCTTTCTAAACTATGGTATATTTTGAGATTAAAATCCGAAAAAAGTGGAATAAATCCATAATAAAAGGACCGGTGCCTTTATGATGTCACTCTTCGGCCTGTAAGCCGTTCTATAATTTCGATTTCTCTTTGGTTTTTTTTTTTTTTTTTTTTTTTTTTTTTTTGTCAAGTCGTTTGAAAAATATAAGCTTTTATTTATTTATTTATTTATTTATTATTTTTTGCTAAAATCGGAATCAGTTTTGAAAACTTTAATAATAAAAATCTAATAATAAATAATAATAACTCATGTTGATTTTTACAAGTTTTTTTTGTGCTCGGTGAAATGTAATGAAACATTATTATTGCGCTCAGTAATAAATAACTTACTAACACCATAGCGCTAAAGTTTTCTACTCTTACTTACCAGATAAAAAACACTGTCGCGAAGACGTGTAGTATTTTATACAGGAAGTGCAATTTAAGCTGTTTCGAAATCGAAAGTGTTTTTCTTACAATGCTTTTAGTGTTTTGGACAACCTGAGCATAGTTTTTATAAACAATTTCAGAAATTTATAAGTTACATCTTAAAATTACACTAGCTGCATTCAATAAAATGTCTATAAAATGTCACATTCTGCTGCTATGGGGCCGAAATACAGCTTTTACTTTTTTACTCAAGAACTTAAGACTTATAGTCTGCAGTTTATGTAGAACAGTGTAATGTACATTTTATGTAAGCACGTAATATAGGGCAATTTACGTTTTACACATAATTTGAGATACTTTATCTTGCGGCTTTTAATTTATTAATTTACACGTTAATTTAACTTAATTATTGAAATTTATATTCAAATAAGTTCGATATTTGCAGCTTTAAGTAGCTACCATATTTTAGGAATTTAGTACTTTCATCTTCAGAGGTTTTAAATAATATAAGACAAAAGGTTTTGGACAGTCATAGCTATATTTTATAACTACAATTACGAATGATGCATATAAATCATCAGTAAAGAAACTGCAACGAAGGAAGGAAAACAGGCACGGCTAATATATAATTATTTTCCAGATGATAAGCCAATCTAATATGAGACACAATACACATAGTTTTTTATTAGGAATCAAATTAGGTAAAGATTTGCAATAATCATGTTTTGAAAAATGCTCTTTATCACACAGTAATCAACAAATACAGGCATATGTCTTAAATATTTTAGAATAACTTCGACTCAACTAGCTGCGTTTTATACAAATTTCAAACGTCAAGCAGAATTCACTGTACTTCGGTAATGCCAAGCACTAGATAAGTAATAGTTTATTGGTAGCAGCATTTGTTCTTTACCATCTAACGTTTGTAAAATTATTATTTAAATTAGCCAGTTTTTATAACTTCGGTCTTCACTATAACTTTGTAGAGACATTAGGTATTTTTTGGAAGCAGGCAAGATGAAAAATGAGCAACCGCCTTCGCCGGGAATCGAACCGCGGACCTCTGGAATACCGGCCTAGTGTGCAGACCACCACACCACGAAGGCTCGCCAAGAAGGTGGGAGAAATATCTTATAACTTCTGCTTTCCGTTTCCTCTGCAGAATGCAAATGAAATAGCCAACATTTAAATTGAGGTTTTTGGATTTTAAGACAGAATTTGTTTCTGGCTTCGCGTGCAAGCTACGTGTTAATTTCCTGCAAGCTGTGATAGTTGTAATTATTTGGCTTTGCTTTCTATCGCTGCCGAAACTTTGGTTTTAACGCTCTGGTAGAATTACTGAGCCAGCTTATAGTAATATTTAATTGTGGAGTCTTTGACTATCGTTTCACGTGCGACTTATATTTGTTTGTTCTGTTGAGTTGCATCACCAAGAGCTGTGGCTGATATTTTAGCACAAGCGAGTGTGTTTATGTTCTAAATTTTGTTTCAGTAAAAAGGTTATTTAAACCTTCCTACTACCTTGTAGTTACTTCAGATATTCCTTATTCTTTATTACTCCTTCACCTTATTACTCCATAATGCAATGATCGAATTCCTCTTGAAATTCAGGGCTAATTTAGCCCAGCTGTTTCTTATTAAGCTGTTGTCAGTCTACGATGACAGCACAACTGTTCGAAAAAGTGTGTTTCAATGGCTTTAACATTTTTGTGCAGAGACTGCAGCATCCAAGACAAACATCTCCAATAGGAGCATTAACTGTCACAACTGGTTAAAATCTCATGAGTCTTAGAGGAGCTCGATGCTTCACCATGAGACAGCTCTTGGACTGCAGAGTTATGGAAAACGTATTTATGTTACCGCTATTTCAACGACTGGGATTTAGAAAAGTTGGTGTTCTTTGATTTGATACTGATCGAGGAATTAATTCTCAATTGCATGGATTTTAGAGAGAGGTGGGTTTTAAAGGGAAGATTTCGTGAGTTATAAACGAACCCCATGCGCAATGTGATCATGAATTAGTTTCCTTTAAGTTTCCTCTTTATGGACCCAAAACACCAAAGTAGACAGCTCTTACACTGATTGCTATAATTCATTTTACATATTTAAGGCATTTTTACCCCCTCTTCTGCAAGTATTCGTGGTGTAATAGGAAGCATACACCATGCGTATTCGAGAGGTCCGGACTTCAAATCCCACAGAGGGTACTGCACATTTTTCACGTCTTCAGCATCAAAAAGCTTAATGACTTACTTAATTCTTTCCGTAAACCCAGCTTCATTTGTTATTTGTTACAACTGCTACTGAAGTAGATAGAAGCATAGCAGTTTATTCTTAAAAGTAGCTATTTCTTCTTTCTGTAGAGGAACCTGATTTCTATCCTTGCATGGATGATAAATTCCTACTAATGTTTCTTCGAAACAAGAAGCACAACATCCAAAGAGCTTTCAAGGCATTGCGAAACTATTATATCTTCAAAGAAAAGTATTCAGGAGTTTATACGGATTTTTTACCTTCAGGAGTTAAGAACGTCATGGATGCGAACTGCTACTCGATGATGCCTCTTAGAGATGCAGGTGGTAGACTTGTAATCATAATTCGTCCAGGTAGGAAATACTGCTTCATATGACATTTATTCTTTATGTTACTCAAATGCCATGTAGCGAATAAATGAAAATGTTTAATGAAAAAATTAGTATAAATAAAAACATTTGAAAATTTATCGTCGACTGCGGTTTCATTGGACTACTCCGAAGTTGTCCAACGAAAGATGGCCAGATTCCAATAATATACAGAGGGTGTTCCCACATTTTTGTAACGATTTTGATTTTCTTCATGAATTTAAATTTGAATTTTAAAATATACTGCTCGACATTGAAAATGCAACACCAAGAAGGAATGGTCAGGAAGTGATGAAATTTGGAAAAAACACAGAGACAGCAAGCAGCAATAAGTGATCTTTATTTCAAAATGATAGTCAGAATACAGGGCGAGAACGGCGTTACGGCTCAGTAGGATGTAGGACCACCGCGGACAGCGATGCACGAAGAAACACGTCTAGGCATAGAGTCAATATGAGTGCGGATGGTGTCCTGAGAGATGGCTCTCCATTCCCTTTCAACCATTTGCCACAGTTTGTCTTTTGAACGAGGCAGGAGCAGAGTCTGCAAACGGTGCCCAATCACATCCCAGACATGTTCGATTGATGACTGGTCAGGAGAGCACGGTGGCCAGGGAAGCATCTGTATACCTTGCAGAGCATGTTGGCAGATATGAGCACTGTGTGGTCGGGCGTTATCCTGCTGAAAATGCTGAAAACTTTCATTAGGCAGCCTCTGAAGGTACGGGATTGCCACCGGCCGCAGTACATTATCCAAGTATCGTTGGGCCCTCATAGTGCCCTGAATACGAAACTAGAGATAACCTGGAATCATAGGCAATAGCGCCCCAAACCATTATGCCATGTTGTCGCGCATAGGGGCTTTTAACAGTTACTGTCCCGATTAGATCTGTCTTCTGTTTATCCAGTGACAGTCGACGTCAACGCCACACACGTATGCGTCGACTGTCACTGGATAAACAGAAGAGTGACTCATCTGAGAACACAATGTTTCGTCCATTCTGTCATCCACATCACTCCACTCTGGCATCATTCTAAACGTTGGCGTTCTATGCTGTGGGGTCAATGGCAGTCTTCTTAACGGACGCCGTGAGTGCAGGCCACGTTCAACCAATCGACGGGAAATGGCTCTGGTCGACACAGCAACATCCAGAGTATCTTGCACATGCTTTAGAATCGCGGTACAAGTGACATGCGGGACTTTCACAGCTTGTCGGCGGATGCGTCGATCCACGCGTGCTGACGTCACTCTGGCTGCACCTGCACACCTCCTTCTTCCCCCATTTCCTTGTTCCAACCATGTTCGGCATAGCCGATGCACCGTGCTCGCATCCATGTGGATATCAGTTGCGATTTGACGTAAGGACCAACCCGCTCTTCTCAGTCCGATCACCATACCCCTCGTAAAATCGTCCATCGGCTGGAAGTGCCTTCGTTGACGGTGGCCTGGCATTCTCTTATTACGCGTATCCTTCGGGACAAAAACCAGCTTTCTTCGATAATTCGTCTAGCAGAAATAACGACACGAATATTGCCCATTCTGCACGTTCCTTTCCTTATATCTTACTTCACGTGCGTCAGAAAGCTGTGCATTTCACATCATTCGGCTATCTAAGTGACGTGCGTCTACTCTAAAATTTGCATAAATTTCTGACCACTCCTTCTTGGTGTTGCATTTTCAATGTCGAGCAATGTATAAACGTGACTGGAGTCCAATTGGAATAAGGTTTAATTAACATGTGCATCATTAAAAATATTCTTTTCTTTAAAAATGTTCCTGAAAAATAAACAATGGATCGAAGCCATCTTTGTTTTTGCGCTGTCTGAAGAGAAATACTTTTATTCAATTATTAGAAAAAGATGTAAAAAACATAGTTTTAATACCTCTTAACGTAAAATAAGTGACATAATTAAAACCCTTTAACTGTCATGCCCGAGATAATCTTGGGCACAGCACTGGTGTTCGAAAATGTAATTTTTTTTTTTTTTTTTTTTTTTTTTTGAGTGCATCGTATTGTTATACCCGAATATATATCGGGAGACGTTTATTTCGGCTTCATCTCTTTGTCAAACCCGACTGTATCTCGGTAAAAGTTAATGTGCGCTCAGTTCAATAGATGACAGCACTTTACTGAAGATTTCAAAGGTTAGAGGTTATAAGTTCTTTGGTTCAAAGTGCATGGGATGTTTTTGTTGTAAAATGGCGTCCAGTTCTTTGAAACGTTATATAGATGATTTAGATACTTCAACCGAAGATGAAGAATGTGTGTTTGATGAGCAGTATTCATGATGCATCCATGATCAGCCTCAAAAATAAAAAAAAATGGAGATATACTCAAGCCGAAGATTGTTTCTAATTACAGTCTAACTATGGGTGGTGTAGATCGCGTGATTAGGAAATATCCTTTCATCCAACAATCCGAAAACGTCAGAAAAATATTATAAAAAGATATTTTTACATTTACTGGACAAGGTACTCTGGAACTCACATTTGCTCTATAAAAATGTAGTTGGGAAACGTATTACATTTTTAGAATTTCGAATCCAAGTTGTAGAAGAGCTTTTACATAAATATGATGATGCAGCTTCTGGACAAAAGAATGTTGGCAGACGACCTACAATAGATAACCCTGCCCGTCTTACCGAACGACATTTTATATCCCATATTCCTCCTACTCCTGCGAAACGTGAGCCTACAAGACAGTGCAAAGTGTGTTGTTCGAAAAAGGATAAAAATGGGGAAAAGATAAGAAAGGAATCACGATTCTGGTGTAGTGATTGTGGAGTTGGTTTGTGCTTGGAAAAGTGTTTCCAGTTCACAAGACTGAATTACTGAACTACTAATAGGTATTCACTTATATTTATTTATTTTTTAGAAAATAATTAAATTTTTTCTTTTTTAGAAAATAATGCTCCACTAGAAGCGAACTTTACAACTGCCATGTTGAGTGGCAGCCGCTTCAAGCAAATATGCATTTTCTACAAAACTTTAAAAATTTTATTTATGTATTTCAAAATATCAATTTTTAACTACTTAAGTATATTTTATTTTGTACTAAACATTTGATTTTTTCAATAAAAAAATTTGACATTTTGTGTACCCAAATCATCAAAATAACTTGACAGTTAAAGGGTTAAAATGAAATAAAAGAAACATCAACGTTTATATCTGGCTGCGAAAAACGCAAAAAAGTACATACCCAGCAAAGGTATGTACAGCTCTTATTAAACCTAAAGTCAGTCGCATCTCGTGATTTAAAGAAAAATCCAGCGTCCCAAAACGCTATTGTAAAATCTTTAAACATCTTTGTAGGAACTGTTGAACAAAATTATAAAATCTGATTTAAAGGTAATCGAAAGAAAAAAGCATGATGTTTATCGCCTAACGCAGAAACATGTCTCAGCGTAAGACAGTGCAGATTGCAGCATGAAAATTAATTTCAAGATGAAAAATGGAAATATATATGTTATAATTGATGAGGCTTGGATATGCTCATCTGATTGCAATAAAAAAAGCCGACTTACTACAAAAAAAGAGGAGAAAAGTACTTAACATGTCGATTCAGAGAAAACAATGAAAGATTTTCTAAATGTTTTATGGTTATTACTGGGTTCTCTTAAAACGGAAAACTTAAGGAAAGTTTTAAAAAATATCAAACTAAATTTGGATTATTTTATTACTATCGAAAATATGTTTTAACACCTATTTTTAAAGCCGAAATTCCATCTCTTTATCCAAACAATCTTCACTATGTTAAGTTCAATCGGAATAAGTCTCCAAGCCATACCTCTAAATCTATTGCTCTATTTATTTAAAAAATGAGAATTGAAACCGGAATGAAAGCTATTCCCTTTAAATACATCTTACCCAAGTCCCCTTATGTGTTTCTTATGGATTACCGTACATTTAGACTTTTAAAACAAGCTTTTTATAAGTGGCATCTCAAAACATTGTATGAATACTGGAAGATTGTGAAGAAGGAGTGCAATAAAATCAACCTTGATGTTATAAGAAAAGGATATTTATCAATATGTAATATGATAGTTCAACAAAAGAGCTATCAGACCGAACATATTAGAAAATAAAATTCTGAGATTTATTTATATATAAAGCTTTGCAAAATCGTTACAAAAATGTGTAAAAACACTCTATATTGTTATTTATCTTTGCTTCTTAGAGTACTCTACCGAGAAACGAAGATTATCTCTTTAAGGAAATTAGTAATTATCGAATTTTAGAGACTTCACCGTTCTTGTCAAAGGGGTGTGAAACTTGTTCCAAACCTTCACCTCGTTTTTCTTCCCACAGCCAATAGTGATTTTACAAATGTTTGCTTATTTTTTCTAATTTTTACACTCACTACACAAAATTATTTATTTCAAATATGGTATTTAAGTGGCATTTAAAAGAATACTAAAATGAAAATATGACAATTTCGCGATAATTAAGTCAGTATGAATTATAGGACCTTTTTATGGATAATATTCATTTTTATGTCAGTACTTTTTAAACAATTTGATTCTTTTCTCTATTTCATCAGAAAACCTGTTTTAGATTGCAGCAAGTGTATATGTCATTTCTTCGATCTCGGGATCATTCCGGAGTTCTCCGGCTATAAGATTGTCGAAGCAAATGACAATCCAGGGAAAGCTAAATAAAGATAGACTGTTATGACGCATCTGAAATTTAGTACGCGGATTAAAACCTTAATTTATTTTAAGATTAAAGAAATGCGAATGCAGATATTATAGTGTCTGGACTATAATATCTGTATTCGCATCTCTTTTATTATCTCTGGCCCACCAGCGGCCGAGCGGTAAAGTCGCTGAACAGTGGTAGTTCGGTCCGAGGTTCGAATCCCCCAAACGGGCTGGGTGCATGGGCGTTTTCGTGGTTTTTCCCATGTGTTACGTGTATATGAGCCAGTTCCCCTTAGAAAGTCCTCCACGAAGGCATCCCTTCCCTTAGGCAGATAGCCCTCGTGTGCTTTGCCATAATTAAATACACCAACACCTTTTATTATCTCTGATTGTCAAGAGTTTAGAATCCTTAAGAACCTTCTGAAAAGATGATCTACTCAAGTAATACTAAAGCCAGAAAACAGCAGAAGTCATTTTCTTGTGACAGGGTCTAAAATTATGCAACGGTCCGAAACGAAAGAGCTAATAGGAAGATCATTTATGTTTAAAAAGAATTAGATTTTAATTATACAGAGGCTTTTCTCACATTTGTTAGACTATTTTCATTTTGTTTACAGAAATATTTTACCTAAAATTTTTATGTTTTAAATATTCCATTTGATATCTCTTATTCTTCACTATTTTTGTATACCGTAATTTCCAAAACAAAAAAGCCTTTTTTCAGTATCGAAGGAGGTATTTTATCCCATTTTCTCATGAACAGCTTCCAAAGACCAAGGAGGCTTGTATATCGGCGTTTGGCCAATTTACTTTTTAAAAGTCCAAAAGCACAAAAATCCGTTAGATACATCAGGAGATTTAGTAAGGATATTATGGATGGATGTGCTCTTGATGCATGTTTCTTGTTCCATTTTTTCCATGAAATTAACAGTAGATTTTGACGTGCGGCTGGTTGCTTTGTCTTGATATAGTTCTACCGATTGATGGCGCTGTGGGTAAAGAGAATGTGTTTCATGTTTAAATACCGGGTATAAAATATGTTGCTTATAATATGTGGAATTCATCTGAACAGTTTTCTGCACTCTTTTGAATTTTCATTTATCGTTATGTCAAAAACCAGTGGCAATCATAAATCGCTTTCAGAAAGCTTTCTTTAGATTCTTTGAACCATGTTTTAACACCTTTATCATCTCGTTGATGAGAATAAATGGATCTCTCTTTATTGCGAACGCTTAAATACACCCAAGATTTCATCTATTATGACAACATTTTTTTCATTTTTGCCCGAAAAATTATTTCTCGTAGAGAATTCTGCAGCACATTCGGCTTTCGGCGATATATCCGAAGAAATCCGAAGCACATTACGTTTTTCCCACTTTTTAAGAGTCAAATCCGCACTAATCACTTTGTTTATAGTTGACACTGATCATTTTAATGATTATGCAACTCTTCTTTGATTTCGCAGATTATCTTTTAACATTAAAGTTTTTCCTTTGCAACATTCGAAACATACCATATTTTTCCTTGTATATGTAATTTGAACAATTTTTCTCCCTGAAGCTAAAATTTGACATTTTTTTCCCTTTCTCATTGATAATATTATCCATCGTTGTTTTAGATAACGAAACGTAATAGCTTTCATAGTATTTTTTAATAACTAATTGCGAGTATTTTTTCGGAACGAGCACAAACATTGATTTCCGTCCATTGTTGTTTTAAAAGCGTCATTTTGAATGAAAATAAAATTGTCAAATAGCAGACGATTATTTACACCTTAAAAAATATGGTCGAAATTAAAGAATGTTTTTCACGCAGGCAATCGTTTAATAGCAAAGCAAAATCGTCTAAAAAATGTTCGATCTTCTGTATTTGCCTCTGAATCGTTCACTTTTTAATTTTCAGCTTGCTGCTGCTTTCTTATAAATATCCTAGTACATTTGTTGTTTTTAATCTTTAAATTTTTATTTATTTTCTAGAGCAATTAAAACTATCTGTTACTTTAAATTTCCAGTTTACTAAGATAAATAACATTCTCTTTAACAGGTCAATGCCTAGACAAAGGAGTTACTATAGAAAATATATTTTCTGCAATTCTGATAGTTGGTACACTCGCTTACAGAATGGAAGCGTCTTCTGTGTGCGGTTGTGTGACCATTATCGACCTTAAAGGATTTAGTGCACAGCAGTTTTACTCGCTTGTGTCGCCAAAATTTATAATTTTCATATTTAACTGCATACAAGTGAGTAAAAATAAACTTTAAATATTAAAAACTACTTATTATATAGATTTTGCATCCGAACCAAACTCACTGAATTGTTTTCAGTGTTATTTATTTCCTTTGGGAGCATTTTCAGTTAATTATGCATTTTTAAATTCTCATTTTTTAAAATAAAAGCAACTGCTAATACGTATTTTAAAATCGAGAAAGAAGGAACAGAGATTAATAGAGTTGCGTAAATGGCAAGTACATCAGTGACGTTCTTATATATTATGGCATACCGAGAATTATTGAAATATGTTAATGATTTGTTCTGTTATTAGGACCGGATTCAAATATCACCAAAAACTGATAATCTGACGAAAAATTTCAAGCATAGAAATAATAGTGAAACTATTTACGATTAAATTCAAGAAAAATTTAATTACTGTTAAGTGAAGAAAAGAAAACCGAGGAAAAAAAATAACATGATAGATATTCGTAAAATTAGACATTTTTAATGTAAATTAAACAACTTGCCAAAGAAATTAGGAGAAAAAATCGATTGGCGAATTGAGATTAACATTGAGGCATGAAACTGCGGATGTTACTCGTATTTAAAAATGTTTAAAAACATTTTCGTTTAAGGACGCTGTTGCTGTCATATAAACTTTATTCAATAAAGATCTAATTGATTAGTATCGCGTTGACATTATAAAATATTTTCGATAATTTGTTTGCAATTGTCCTCAATAGACGCCGTCGTGACTTCACTCAATAACCATTTTTTTCTCATTTTAGCGCTGGCAACTCTAAAGAATCCATCGTAATAATTCCCATCTCTAATTAACAGATAATTTTTATATTCTTTCCTCGTACGCTTGATAAGTGTTTTATATTTTGCTGGTTTTCTTTTGTATTCAATTTTTTGCCCAATCTTCATATCTCTCAATCCTTTTATTTGTGTCCGTTTACGTGCCACTCTTACTTGTTACTTGTCTTCTCATTTTATCTAGTTCCAAATTCCACCAGGAAGTTCATTCCTCCCTCTCTTTCTTCCGCACACTCAGTTTTTTCCACATTTGTGTTATAATACGATTCTCAATATGTGAAACCACTTTGTTCAGTACCTCTTCATTTTTAGATTTCAGTATCTCATTTTCCATTTCCAATAAATCCTTTTTTCATATTTCGACTAAATCTCTTAATTCTATTTAATATTAGTAATTATAAATTTCTTACCACTTTCCACTTTCAACCCTAGTCCTGTTTCAATCAATATGTATCTGTGGTCTCAGAGAGATAATATAGAATATTCATATTAGAAAAAAATACAAAATATTCATATTAACTGAGTATTAAATCTTGGTGAACCCAAGACTAGATCCGTCGAACCTTCTTTCACTGAGGACAAAAATGTAGGTCTAGAAGCTGAGTCATCTACTAAAATCAAACCATTTTGTGCAATAAAATCGTCGGTTAAAACTCCCCTTGCATCTACAACAGGTGCCCCTCAGCTCAAATGTTTTGAATTAAAATCACCTATAACAATAAAACAATTTTCATCATCATATGTATCTAAAATCTCTTCCAATCTAAATAAATCTGTATTCAAGACCTCAGCAGGCGAGAAATAAACTGAAACGATACCAAACATTTTTTGCCACTATAGTATCCCCAATAACAACTACTCGAATATCAAATTCGGAATTGCAGACTACAATTGCGGGTGTCCCTATTTTTATCATTTCCATCAAAAAACTTTATATAAGATATTGTTACGTGTGTACAGGCTTGTAATAGATTGAATGTACAAAGAACCCAGGATAGCCTGATGAAATTTATTTTTCTAAAAGAACTCTTTATAGTTCGGAAACTTTTCAAAAATGTATTCGTACAACTCTTTTCAGTATAACAGAGCACAATCAGTAGTTACCACTTCAAACTACACTCATGTCCATAAATTAAGGATAATGCAAAGTCAGGCAAAGGAAGAGCTAGAAGCAAAACAAATTTGACTTATTTGTAAAGCTTATTTATTAAACAAAAGGTAAAGAGCAAAAAAAGATGCTATGTGTTTGATATTATTAAAAAAATTAGCGATATTTTCTCCCTGGAGCAAATTACATAAAAAAAACCTATTTACAATAAAACAATATTACATGGTTGGTATGATTGTTAATACATTGTATGTGTCCCAGACGATGCAATACAGTCCGTACAACGCCTAGGCATGCTGAGTATCAAACTATCGATCTGATCTTGGGGGATATTACACCACTCAAAAAGCAATGCTCTCCGAAGTTCCAGTAGACATGTAGGAGGAGGTTGACGGGTTGCAACTCGTCGGCCAAGTATGTCCCATACGTGCTCTACTGGATTCAAGTCCCGTGAGAATGCTGGCCAGTCCATACGGGTGATATCCTCCGATTGAAGGCATTCGCTTACGATTTTTGCACGGTGAGGACGGCGTTGTCATCTATAAACACAAATTGTGCGCCCTTGGCGCCCCGAAACAAACGTCCATGTTGTTCCAGAATGACGTCCCGATAGATTTGGCTTGTCATGGTTCCAATTTGAACATGCAGGTCATTCTGGAAACCCAGAATAATTCCACCCCAAACGAGCACTCCTGCACCACCGTAACGGTTGTCGTTCAATGTGTTTTTGGTGGTTAACGGGTACCTGGAACTCTCCATATGAAAGCGGCGAGAATCACACTGCAAGCTTAACCTGGACTCGTCGGAAAACATCACACATGCCCACTGTTGCGGTGTCCACAATGCATGCTCTTACTCCAGGCTAACCGCAGAGACAGTGAGTTGCAGTAAGTGGAAGCATCTGACAGTCTACGAGCATATAGACCAATCTTGCCCTAAGCGTTTGTACACGGTCTGCCTTGAAATTGTCGTACCAGTGGCTGAAGAGAGTGAGAGACAGGTCTGAGGCTGTGCTCCGCCTGTTTCTTTTGGCAGTAACTGCCAAATACCGTCTCATTCGGCGTTGTAACTCTGGGGCGACCTGTGCGTAACCCTACTCACATTAACATCTGGAATCGTTGCCAAAGCCTGGAGATGACACTCTGGGCAATTCCAAGTTCATCTGATACTTCCAGTTGGGTACGCCCCATTACAGACGACCGATAATTCTACACGTAAAAAATCATACAAAAGGTTCTTGTGTCATAACTATTCGGTTATTAGAAAAAATGCTTATAAAGCGCCTGCGAACAATTTGACTTCTTTGCCGTATTCTTATATATCACCTCTTACACTCTCGTCATTGTAACGTACCATCGGGTCATCTGGTTACTCCTGAGTTTGCATATGATTCTTGAAGATGTGTGTAGTGATTTACAGGTGATATATTTATTTTAGAGTTCGATTTCCGCGCGACTCCAAATTATCCTTAATTTATGGACATGAGAGTAATAAGAACTTCAAACACAGCGCAATACAAAGTGCATCTCAACTCTGTACTGAATTGAAACTGACATTGTTTCTATATAGTTTTCCCTAGACCGCCGAGAAATTTCCAGTACCTTAGCTTTCTCGAAGTTGCTGGAAGGCATATACAGTTACAGTTTAATAAAGGCTGGATACAGTTATACAGGTATCAGACAAATTACAATCATACAGGGACTAGACAAAAATGTCACCAAATGGTCGACAAGTTTCGTGACTTTTGGCGATTTCTCGTCAAATTTGGTGACAAAATTCATTGCCACAACAATCGCCAGCTTGGCACTATAAATGTTAAATAGATTTGCTCCTGTAACCTTATTCTTACGGCTAAGCATCACTCTCTTGAGGCGTTTAATGTTACATTATACAAGAATTCAGATATTTATTGCAGTTTTATTACTATTGAATAACCAGCTTACTTAAGTATTACTACGCTAGATATTATTTTGAGTTTATATTGATTGTAACTTCTTATTACATTTGAGGATGCTGTAATCAATTGTTCAATATATCATAATAATAATACACTCAAGTATATATAGTAATGCATACAATTTCATGCTTAAGCATCCACTCAATTCATTATGAAAATTTTAGCTTTACAAATTCATTATATTAGATTTTAACTTAATTTATGCAGGTCCTACTTTAAGTTAACTTAAGTACTCCCTAACTTAAATCATGCAGTTCCTACTATACATTATTTATTAAAATTATATACATGTCATATTTTTAATGTGTATTCGTGGTGGCTGACTGGAAAGACGAACAGATGATGCCGACACGAATGAATTTTGAAGAAGTCCTAATCTTTGTTTCCACGCATACAAAATCATCTCAGTAGATATTTATCCAATAATAATGAATTGTAATAATTTCTTATGTACACAAGTTGACACAGGCGACTTAGGTTGTCATATAACATGGAAGTTCTTGAATTTGGGAGAACACATGAGTTTAGGGAAAGAACACCAAATTTAGAATAGTTAATTTTGATGTTGCCAATTATTTTTACAGCAGTTATCATATTTTGCTGTATATTACATATATTCGATAACAAAATTTCAAAAACAATATGTAAAAATGATGGTACTTTGCTTTTACCTTTTTCTTTCCCCATTTAGGACTGCCTGCCTTATCGAATGAGGGAAATACACATTGTAAATGAATCAGCTTTTTTCAATGTCTTCTATAACATCATAAAATTTGCTATACCAAAGAAGCTGAGAGATAGGGTGAGTGTTTTTCTTTCAAGATACTGTTGCTTTAACTCTTAGAAGTTTACATTTAATCATTTTGTTAGGAATCTTAAGTGAAATCATTGTTTAAGGGTAATATTTACGTCAGCGAAATAGAGAATTTATTGCTGCTTTTTATACCAGGTTTATAAAATACTTTATAATTTTTACCAAACTTCATGCAGTCACATTAGAAAATATATTTCTTCTAAGTAAATATGAAAATTTAATATAGAAAAAAGCAAGAGGAGGAAAGAAAAAGACACAGGAATGTTAAATGTAAAATTAGGCCAAAAAATTCACAAGCTTACAGATTTTTGTGAAAATCTCTCTCAATTTCGACGGAAAGCGACGTTGGGAAAGAGAAAGCATTTTATGCAAATTCGGCGAAATGAAAAATTCAGGTATTAAGAAAGATCAAATTAATAGATCAGGCCAAATACGACTACTGCACCGTTTATCGAATAAAACTGAAATGAAAAAGAGGAAAAAAATCATGCTTGGAATTTTGAATTCTGCGATAATTTGGAATTAATTAATTTATGGGATTAAATAAAGTTCAATTCATTTAAATTGGGTTGGAATTAATGTAATTAATTAAATTCAATAAATTATTGTGAACGTGGAATGCGTTAAAAAAGATCCAATTTTCAATTAAAGAGTGTTTTTGAACACTTTAGCGGAGCTAAGTTTGTAATCATGGTTAAAGAACCAACTAACTATAAATGACTACTCACAATTTTTTTTTATTTCTGATTTCCTAACATAGAGTGTATGTTCTTAAATGAGACGTTTAAGCGCTTTCTTCATTTGGACGATATGTGTCAAGCCACACTGGAAACACATTTTCCCCCAATAATTAAAATTAAATGCAGAATACTTGAAGAATTCACATATAGGTGTGAAAATGGCTTTTTTGTCGAGAATCCGAGCAATGTTGCAAATGAAAAAAGACAAAATTAGATGACAGCAAGAATGTTATGGCTGATTCTAACAGAAAAATGCTTTTGTAAAACTGTTAATTTTTCAAATTCTCGATTAGTTATTATGGAGGACATTCTTACAATTAACAATTGACTTTACGTAATTTAGTTCCTAAAGGAACTAAATTACGTCGATGAACCGACGATTAAAATGCGAAGCCCTTTTTCTTAATCAGCAGAATGGTAATATTTGGCATAAGGAAGAAGGCAGATGGGAAATGTAAGTTAAGAAATCAAATTTATGATGAGTATTTAGAACATCAAGAGGAATACGCAATTTAATTTTAGATCTGATCTGAAAATCTCTTTCAGTCGTATATATAAGAGATAATTCTCCTTTATCGTCATTAAAAAATAAAAAATTACCTTCGATGCAAAGAAAGTCTTAAATAATTTAACTCAAAGTTGTGCATATGAACGTCACCATGTACTGGAAAGAGAGGGTTACCCATAATCAGAGTAATTTCTAAAATTAGAAGTGCAAGAGCCCTATGAAAGGCAGTCGTAAAGATAAATGAGATTCAATAAAATAAAACAACAAATAAAGAATAATAAAAATTGAGTAAAATGTAAATAAATAAATAAAAAATTGCTAAATTAAATTACTGAGTATTACTTACTTGAGCCCTGCCAATAATTAATTTTTCAGATGTACGATATTAATAACAAAATCTTTATTATCAGAGATCTGAATTTCAAAATTTTGAGGTAGTAATGATATTTAAAATGATTTTCTGACCAAATAATTAATTTACCTCATTCAGCGATGGAGATTTTGATATTGTATTAAAATATAAATTTTTCTGCATTTATTTAAGTGCAGTAAATGAGAAATTTGGGAGTTTCATTTTATATTATTAGCTGTTCCGAAGTATATTTTATGATGATACAAGTTTTAATTGCAAAACTATTTCTGCTTTTTTTTTAGTTTCATATGCATGGAAAGAACATTGAAGCTCTCCACAAGCATTTTTCTCCGGAAATACTCCCTGAGGAACTGGGAGGGAAAGCAGGCCCCGTCGACAGCACAGTATTTTACAACAATGCACTGAGACTGGAATCTTTTGCCAAAGAGATGATTGAATGTGGATTTCGAAGAACGCGTTCAGTGAACTCTGGATGACCAATTGAAAAAATTATTGTTTTTTTTTAAAAATTTAGTTTAATTACAGATTTATGCAACGAATAAGAAATTTACAACTATACATTTTGTTAAAAAATATTTTATTTTTCAACCACCTGAGCTAGTTCAAAAAATGACAAAACTAATACTTACTCGCACAGACTTTACTGTTTGTTATCTAAAACAATATACGAACTTACTTTTCCCAGGTCCTCTCACTATGGCGTGATTTTTGTTATGAAATGGTTAGCATTAATTGTTACCAAATTACCAGTTGGATTCAACGCTAGTGCGATCTGTGTATATTTCATAAATTATAGCTTGGGAAAAAATCAACACCTATCGAGGACAAAAGAAGCATCTTGCATGCTGACATACTGTCACCTAAAATGAACAAGAGGTAGTGTATCATGGTACTGAAATATCGTCTTAAGATGTTAAACACCAAACTTCTTTGTGTGCTGTCAGTTCTCGTCTATAATCTGCTACACTAAAACAGGCCCTTTAAGGCCGTTTCCAGCTGCCCATTTGCGATCTAACTCCTGTTGTCATCCCGCGCAACATTCGTTTTCTCCTCTTATTTGACAAAGTACTTCAAGTTAATCTTCCTTCACGTGCTTTCATGAAGCGAAACACAAAACGGAAATTTTAAGAGTCAAATCCGAAGCCGGGGGGGGGGAAGCTTGAAGTACAGACGAATTCACGATATAAAAGCAGCAGACGAGACTATTTTTAACGAAATGATATTTCACTACTTCTGTGGGTTTTTTTCTATTACACTGCGAAAGCAAATTTTAGTACTTACTAGATGCTTGAGGGAATTCCTTAAACATCTGACAGGTACAGACAGAAGTGGTTGACACACCAGAAATTCACCATGGTCGTACAGGCATTGTCCTGCCTAGCCAACTGTGCTGTTACATCCCAATTTTGAGAGAGAACACCTAGGGCGCGGTCCGAGTGTCTTCCACCACTCTTCTTCTAACATCAACTTCTCGAGAAGATGTGAGGCTCGCCTTATATTTTGAGTGCCTCTTGTCGCACAGACACTATACTTTACAAACATCCATGCCTTTTCCGGGAAAAGAACTCAGGCCCATCCGCAGGGCAATCAACATCATTTACCGATATACCGGGTGAACTGTTTAAGAGCCTGGCAGCGTGTTAAGTTCAAAAACTGCATTTTACCTTCGAAATGAAATAGGGGATGAAGAAAGAAAGAGAGAAACCTTGTCTCTCAAGTTCGTTTGGCTATGTGAGCTGGAAGCGCTCCTACAAAAGGAAGCGCAAGTATTGGCAAGGAAGAGTCATGTCTGTTAGTGAGAAGGTGTCAATCGCTTTATGAGTTGCCAGCATATCAGAAGTTTGGAAGACATACATGATCCAAATTCAGTTTAAGAATGTCGTGTTTTGCTGATTCGTTATATTGAGTTCTCTGACAATGCAAAGTAGTTAAGAAAGGAAGGAAGTTGTCTCAGGTATCATGTATGGCAATTTTGGTGTCCATAACAGTTTACTCTTTTCAGTAATTAGGAATGTGTGCTGCAAAAGACCGAACAGATTTGTCGTCAATAAAACTTCATGTGAAAAACATGAATGTAAATTTACAAATATATATATATAGTGTTGAGTGTGTAATAAATTGAATGCACACTCCGATGATAGGTTAGTAAAATGTATTTTTATCAAATGAAACATTTCAAAGTTCTGGATTTTTCCACAGAAATACTTGTACAGGTGTTCACAGAATGCAATCAGTAGTTGCGCTTGAAACTGCTAAAAACGTTAAACACAATAGCAACACAAAGCGCACCTAAATCGAAAGCTTACCCGGAGATATCTCAATTCACGCTGAACTGAAAACTCGCAACAATAATAAATAAATAAACTGAGAGCAGATGCTCTTTCTCCGACCTTCTATAGCTTTCATCCGGCAGCCAAAATCTTTCTAGTACTTTCTGTTTCTCAAAATTATTGGAAGGTAACATGAATGTCGAATTACGGTTGCAGCTATTAATAGTGATCAATTACACTCATTCAGTTACAATACTTATTACGGTGATAGAGGGACCGGACAAAAATAGCGCCAAATGGTCACTTTTTTTTTTGCAACTTTTGGCCATTTCTAGCCACATTTGGTGACAAAATAAGTTGTCAAAATCGTTGCCAGCTTGGCGATATCTCGCCAACCGAGGTACCCGTTTACTTAAAGTTAAATGCACTTGCCCCTGCATTCTTACTTTTCCGGCTCATAGCTCGTCTCTTTAGATTTTCCATGTTACATTGTACAAAAGAAATACAACAATTTTGCTTATAATTCCACTAAAATTACCTATCTAAATACAAAATTCGTGACATTGCCCCCTTCCCAAGGACTGCAAATCCCGTGCAATACAGTCCCTGGACAGGAAGCCATCATCGGACCTGTGCGCATTCAGTATATTACGACCCATATGCAAGCAACAATTTTGGTGTCAGAAGTGGGATTCTTGAAGTTTAGAAACCAGGTCAAAGATGCATGATCTGTACACAGTAGGAATTTTCTGCTGTAGAGATACTGATGGAAGTGTTCTATGGCTTTAACTATGGCAAGCAACTCTTTCCTGGTGATACAATAATTCCTCTGCGGTTTAGATAGACTCTTACTCCACTATGCTACGACACGTTCTTGACCATTTATTTCCTGGGAAAAAATAGCACCAACACTCTCATTGCTCACATCTGTGTCAAGAATAAATTGTTTGTCGAGCTGAGGATACCACAGGATTAGAACAGATGTTGAAGCTGCCTTCAGGTTGTTAATTAAATGCATCCTCACATTATTTTGTCCACTAGAATTTTTGCGTGCTCTCTGTCAGCTTATGAAAGATATTTTACATACTTTACAAATACTTTACAAATCTCCTGTAGTAGATGCAAACGCCCAGGAAACTTCTCCGCTGATGTACATTCTCAAATACAGACATTTAGAATTCTCGGATAGAATCCAAGACAGCATGTTTAGACTGTTATTCTCTATTCTGGGTGAGGTTAGCAATTTGTGATTATGCAATTAATCTGCCAAGATATTACTTGAAATGACTTAAAAGGCAGATTTAAAAGAAAACAATTATAAGCAAAATACCGGATCATTGAAGATCATGAAAGTTGGAAAAATAATCAATTAAAGATAATAAAACATCTGAATAACTTGCATTTTACGACAATTAATTAGTCATAAATTAATTCCTGAAACCAAACTCAGATTGCAGTGTGAAACTGTCAATTTTTTAAAATAAAATTTTAAAAGACTTTTAAAGTTTAAATTTTTTATATTTAAAAGGATTTTAAAAAATTGCAATCTAAACTTCATACGCTAATCCCACTTTAACGCCTAACCCAGTTTTAAGCAAAGCAGTCGTCTCTTGCAACGTCTTTACTTGTTCTGTCCTTTCCAAAAACACTTATCATAACTTGTAGAATTATTCTGTCACGAAAAACACCTTCCTTTCCAAAACGCACGAAAGAGAGGCAAATTTCCATTGATTTGCATGTGGCCACATTACTAAAAAAAAAAAAAAAAAAAAAAGTTCCACTGAATTTAGTGCACTATGTAATTATATTTGATTACGGCAGAAGTGAGTTTCCTTCAAAGTTTACTATGGCGTGTTTTCTACTCTTATCGTCTATTGCGTATGATAGGCTAAATCTGTAAGATTAATTGGCGAATCTTTTGCTAAAAATTTCATGTTTGACCGAACATAAACTAGAGGTGATTTTTAATGATCTAATTTATAAGACATAACATTCGATCTTTTTCCTGAGAAACAAGAAATATTCTTTAACTGATGTGGAGGTTAAATATCAAACAAACAAAAATAGAAGCGCAGAGGATATTCTAAAATAAATACAGCTTGAAACTGGCTGAGGAGCAAATGATTTAAGCAAATTTTTTGTTTTCGCCACACAATCGCAGTAAGATTAAATGTAGACGATGTTGCAGAGCAATATATCTTATCTATGTAAAAGGCAGTGCACTCGCATTGTTTCATTATTCGTAACTGAAAGTAGTAACATTTAAAAGAGGAACTCATCGTCGATTTCTGAAAATATTGCTAAAACTTTCCATTTAAATACTGACTGCAGAATATCCGAAAACATTATCTGAGCACGTACTATCGTAACCGTTCAGTTGGAGGTTTCAAATTTCCACAGATGTAGACTTGTCGAAGAATGTTGCCTTGCGGAGAAAGCATACTGGAGACTATCGGAGAATGTTATCTTGCGGATGCATATTGGAGATATACACTTGTCTAAGAATGTTATCGTAGGGAGAAAACATATTAGAGAGTATAGGAGTACTTCTAGAGCAGTGGTTCTCAGCCTTTCTTGCCTCATGCACCTCTTTCACCGTTGATAGATGATATCCCTCCTCCTTTCTAAAATTCAAAAAATGCATATACCTTTATTTAAATTATTTTAATGCGTTTATTAAATTAAAGAAGAAAAAATATTTTAAAAACGTTGATAAATAACAAAAACTTGACTAAAAGTAGTTTTTTTTTTTCCCATTTATCAATTAAAACTAAATCTTTAATAGGTAAATAAATACTAATTCAGAAGTCAAACAACAAAATTCAGCGTTATATTTACAAAATTAATAAATGTCTGACAGCACTCCCCCTAACTGAAACTAGAAAATCATCTTCACCGATTCAGAACGCCTGATAGAGAAAACAGTTATATCGTCTTGTTATCGAAAAGGTGTGGTGTGGTGTATTTAATTATGGCAAAGCACACTAGGGCTATCTGCCTAAGGGGAGGGATGCCTTTCGTGGAGGACTTTCTAAGGGAAACTGGCTCGTATACACGTTACACATGGGGAAAACCACGAAAATGCCCATGCAGCCAGCCCGTTCACGGGATTCGAACCTCGGACCGAACTACCAGTGTTCAGCGACTTTACCGCTCGGCCGCTGGTGGGCTGTTATCGAAAAGGAAAAGAAATGTTATTCCAGGCCAAATAGCCGTACATCTTACCAAAACTTTAGGTACCCGCGTATCAGTGAAACCCATTACTCAGTTTGTTACGTATATGCACGGAAGCAGGTTACATGCACTCCCCTGCGAACACACCATCATCAAAAAAGATTACTTTGGTGTAAGGAATGTATTCATTGGGATCAGCAGAAGCGCTTCAGAATAAGGTTCTCTAATGATGTCGCTTTAATTATGAATAGGGTTCATACGAGCACCAATTAATGTGGAAAGAGAAAGGGACTCGTTGCTATCATCATCATAGTGTCCAGGAAATTAGTTGTTGTGGTCAGGAAATTAGTCGCTGAGGAGTAATTGTGCAGACGATTATCAGACGCAGCGGCAGAATAACTCTTGTCATTGTTCTTGAAGGTACAGTGAACATTATTGTGAGATAGTAATCGAAATTCTTCAGGCTCACGTCTGTCTGTTTCGTGATGTAGATGTTCTGTTCCTGAATGACAATGTCTTCCTACATAGGACAATTGAAGCGTCAGTGCATCAGAAGGACACGTCTACCGTACGAGAAAGCCTCGAACCTAAGTTCGAAATTTCTCGAACTTAAATTCCATATAGCA